ATGGTCGGAGTTTGGTTATTATAAACAACATACAATTATTTTTGCTGATGGTGTTTTTAGCATGATTGCTTTTTGACATATGATATTAAAATATAAAATTAATTAAAGCAAAATATCATCAAAAAAGAAAGAGAAAGGAACATTCGAACATCCTGACTTAAATTGAACGAAATGTTTGTGCTCAGTGATGGTGAGCTTTTCTCTTTGAAAAAAAATGGGAAACAAATAAATTAAAAATAAATATATTAACTAAATCAAAATCAAAAGAACAGAAAGTAGAAATTAAATTCATGATTTTTTTTTATTATAATCAAATACATATATACACATCTTTCTTTCCACTTTCTATAATTTTATTTATTACATAACTTAGTGCAATCCTTTCAAAATCCATCAATTCATTACTTTAATAATTATATTTTAATTATCTTTCAATTATCTTTTAATTATCATTATTATTATTACTATTATTATCATTATTGATCTTGATATCATCATTTTTTTTATATATTATAATATATAATCCAATCTATATAATGATCATTAGTATGTCAACAAGTCACCAATTCCTTTATATAACCAAGTGTTCATTCCTCCACCTGAACAACAGCAATTATTACAAGAATGTCAAGCATTGATTTTGTTATGTCAACAAACTTCTTTAAAAAATTCATCAGATACACATAATCAAAATCAAATTATATTCTTACAAAAGGTTTGATTTTGATTTGTTAATTTATCAGATTAATTAGAAATAATACCAAATTATTCTTATTGGTGGTATATTATAAATAAATTATCAATTGAATTATTTTATTAATGATATTTTTTTTCTCTTTTTTAACAATTGGGGTTTCCATAATAACCTGATCTGTAAATAAATCGCAATTATATATCTGTGTGATAGCTTTGTGAATTGATTCAACAAAAACCAATTCCAAGTGAAGAGATTCAAAAAATCAGACAGGTGCTTGGTATCAACAATACAACAAATCAAACAAATATTCAATCTGTTCAAACAGCACCTATTATTCAACCTCATCCTACTCCTGCTGCCAATAATAATAATATAGTTCCAACTACAACTTATCCACCGCCACCACCACTATTACCATTACCACCACCTCAACAACAACAACAACAACCACCACCACTTTCTATCCCTGTTGCATCTGCCAGTAATACTGCTAATTTTACTCGTAATAATATTGGTACAAATCTTATTTTTCTTCCTATCCCTACTACTACCACTACTAATGCTAATAATACTAATATATTAATATCAGCACCTACAACGACACAATCTATTGCCACAGCTACAACTTTACCCACTACAGCAGTTACTACCAATAATTTACCAGCTCTTTTAAATAATGTTGCTCCTCAACATTTATCAACTCCTTCACCACCACATACTGTTGTTATGTCGATGCCACAACTTCATCAAATCCTTCAACAACCTAATATATTATTAACTAGCCCTGTCACTTCTGCTGCTATACCAGTAACTACATCTACTGGTGTTATTTCATCTAATCATAATTATAATCAACAACAACAAAAACAACAGCAACTGCAGAAGCAACAACAACAATGTCATAATTCTCCACCATCTGCAAATAATAGGATATTACATGTAAATGAATTGGAAAGAATTCAATTTACAAATCATGATATTCAGCGGTAACTATATTTGTAATTACATAACTCATTATACCTGTAAATAATAATAATTATATAATCATTACTAATAATTATAATAATAGTAAACGTGAAGGAGTAATTTCAATTCTTTATGATGCATTCCCATCTCAATGTAAACAATGCGGGATTAGATTTGCTAAAGATTCAAAAGATGGAGGAGGAAAGATTGGTAAGCATTTGGATTGGCATTTTAGACAAAATCGTAAGATAAAGGAAAAAGCCAAGAGGGCACAAAGTAGAAACTGGTTTGTCACTGAGGAGGTTTGTATTTTTATTTTTTGGTTTCTAATTTGAAAAAAAAAATTTATTTTATTAACTAAATTAATAACAAAACATTTAGGATTTTATTAATTCAAGAGATTCAGATTTTCAAAATGGAAATACACCAACATTCTTTGAATATGATACTAGTAATTTTAAATTAAATAAAAGAACAAGTGGAATTGGTGATGGTAGTGGAACTTCTAGATCAAAAAAGGCAAAAATAGATCATAATAATAAAAATGATATTAACAATCTTATCAGTGAATCGACTGTTATTGTTCCACTTGATATTCAAAAAACTAATAAACCTTGTCCCATTTGTAAAGAAAAATTTCAAATGTTTTGGAATGATAATGAAGAAGAATGGATGTATAGAAATGCTATGGAAATAAATGGTGTTATTTGTCATGCAACTTGTCATTCTGATGCAATAAAGGTTGGTTATTAAGATTTATGATTTTAATCTTTTTAAGTTTTAAAGCTAAAATCATTTTTCTCTCTTTTTAATCTTAGCTTAATGTTGTTGTTAGTTAGAGATGGATAGATTTTTCTAAACTTTTTTATTTTTATAATATTTGGAATACTGTTAAAGTTGATTAATTAAATATAGATAAGAGTGTTATTACTATTTATTAGATTATCAAAAAATATTGTTACAACAGATATTTATGATCTATCACAATATTAAAAATACAATTAAAAAAATATATTAATTATTATCTTTTTTATTATTTTATTATTCCTTTTTATCATTTTTATATTTTATCATTATTATTATTGTATAATTGATTGATTGACTGATTGATTGACTGTCCGAATGTAATGAGAGCAATAATAATCATCATGTCACCATAATCTATAAATAAATAAAAATAATTTTATATAGTTGAAGAAACAGGATTCACCATATTTATATAGTACCAATCATAATTTGTACAGTTGCTTTTGAGATTGAACTCTGACCGGTGATGATGATTAGCAGTAAAAATTCCAAATCACCATCTGTACCTGTGATTAAAATTAAAGATTGTAGGAGATGATAATGTTGTGATAATGTTTGGTTTATTCTTTGTGTTAATGGGCCAGATGTTGATTGCAGTTTGATTCTTTGTTGATTATATATGAAGATGATAATTTGTTATTAACTTGATCTTGATTTGTTGAAGAAGAAACCAATGATAGAAAAATTGAACTCCAAGGTTTTATTAAATTCAATTGATTATAAAACATCAACCAATACTTTAATAAAACAATAATAATTAACTTGTGAGGAGTGAAAAAAAAAAACCAAAAATATTTTTAAGATAAAACTTACTTGAGAGTTATTGAAATTTTCTTCAAAAGTTTACCATAATGTGGTAAAATTTTTGTAGTCAATTGATGATAACATGTAGAAAAATTATGATTAATCTCTTATAAAGTCAAGGTTATTTTTTTTCAAGTTTTGCTGTCAAATCATCTAAAATGACATTTTTTTTTCGATTTGATTCAATTTCCAAAAGTATGCATTGAAGAGCCATTTGATCTTATGTTTCATTAAATCCCATTTCTTTGAAATTGTTTGATTACTCTGCAACAGACCTAACTCATGGAGTTCAGCACAATTCTAAAATTGTATTTTCAAGAGGATTGTTATTTCTTCACTAGTCCAGTTTCTATATTCACCATATAAAGCTGGACCATTTTCTTCTTCATCATAATTAATGTATCTACTTCCCCAATCACCATTTGTACTCCAACAGATTCTTCATTTTGTCCTCTTTTTTACTGTTACTATCATTTCCTGGCCTGATTCAAAATAATATAATTTAACTCTATCATCTATTCGAAAGAAATGAAATGACATATCATTAATGCATTCTTTTTCTTTAATGTACTAAAAAAAATTTTAATATAATCAATTATTAATAATTAATCAATTTAATTTAATTTAATAATTGATCAATTGATGGCTACTTACATCCAATTATCTTCCATCTTCCATTTAATAAAATTTCCATCTTGGCTTGAACCTATGTAATAATTTCTCCTTTAAATGTAACACTTTTATTGATAATACTTCAATTATGGCCTTCAAGTTTACCAGCACATTTTCCTGTTATAACATCAAAATCTAACATATATAAATATATAAATAAATATACTACCTTTTTCACATTTTTTATCCGCTTTTTCAGTTGTCCATAATTACATAGTAATTTAGTTAAGGAACAAAAAGCGGAAATTAATTATTAAAACAGTATTATGTATACAACATTGAAAAAATTAATAAATCATTATTTTTTTATTACATAATATATTAATGTTAACCTTTAATGGATTTGGTAATATATAATTATCTTCCTTTTTACATTCCCATTTGTGTCAATCTTTTAATTTTCCACCAGCAATCAAATGTGTATGAGTAGATTCAACATAATATCCTTACGCTTAATAATTTGCAAAATTCAAATTAGCCAATCAGAGTTTTATATCCCCCAAAATTTTAAACTTCACGTACAACCAGCACACAAAAGATACTTTAATTTGCCAGTTTTTTCTGGCAGAATTTTTAAATTTTATTATTTATTTCCGACGATCACTTTACATTTTCAGAAGAAATTTTCACAAGAAAATTTTGTGCTTGCATACAACACAATTAATAATCATTGTGATCGGCATCCAAAAAACTATCCACTAAAAATTTTTTTTTCTTTACATTGTGGAAACAAAAATTATTGTTAATATGAGTTTGCCACCTGAACTTCTAGCTGAAATATTCAAATACATTGAAGATGATTATAAAACATTATATTCCTGTATTCTTGTCAACAAGCAATGGCACAATATCAATATTCCAACTTTATGGAGAGATCCACTTTTTTGTGAAGACAGCATCAAAATATTAGTTAATTGTGTATTAGAAGAAGATAAAGATTTTTTAACTAGAAATTGCATTGAATTAACTTTTGAACTATTGGAGAAGCCACCATTATACAATTATGCCAGATTTTGTACTATACTTTTCGAGTATTGTGATTTTCAATGCATGATGAAAGATGGATCATTAAATCTTGTACAAATTTTACAAAATAAATTAGAAAAATTTATTTTAGACCATTCAGCAAATATTAGGAAGCTTAGCACTAATTATATAGATTGTAATTTGTTAATTAATCATCATAGATTTGATAATTGTTTTCAGAATCTTTATGAAATAGCTTATAATTGTAGTTTTTGTAGTGGTGAATTATTTGATAAACTAGCAAATATTTGTAAAAATATTCAATCATTAACAGTATATTGTAGTGATGACAAAAGTATATATAATTTAGCACGGCTAATTAAAGCACAAAAGCAAATTAAATATTTAATTATTGAATCAGAAGCAATGGAAGAAATTTTATCAGATGAATTAAAAAAAGCAATATTAACACATTCACAATCAATCATTTTTTATGGATCTCATGGCATTGATGTAGATAATTTTAATAATTTATTATTACCAACTTTTAAAAATTTAAAGACTTTAGAATTATCATCTAATGTTAATAACAATATAATAAGTTGGAAAAATATTTCATTACCAAATATTGAATCTGTAAGTCTATGTATTTATGGTCAACCATTTCCATCAAACTTGTCTGATATTATTAATATCAATGGAAAAAATCTTAAAAATCTGTATATTGGTGGTTATCCAAATTTAAATGGTTATGAATTTTTAAGAGGGCTATTTCAATCAATTGCACAATCTTGTAAAAATTTAGAAGATTTATCCATATTTTATAAGGATGAATTCAACCAGGAGTTAATGGAAGCACTCAATAATTGTACTAAATTAAAAAGTATTAGATTTGATCATTGTTTTCCTGTTAAAATAGATTGTGGTAAAATATTAACAGTATTAAATGAAACATTACCAAAAAACTTAAAGTCAATAACTTTTACTTATAAGATTTATAATATTAGTAACCATTCTTTGGATATTCTAATGAAGAATTGGAGAGGACCCAAACCTTTAGTAATAAGATTTGATGACGATGTTGATTATTATGAAATGTTGCAAGAAAGTGATGGAAGTAAAATATTAGAAAAATATCAAGATTTAGGGTTTTTAAAAATTAATAATATTTAAAATTATTTAATAAATATTGTCAGTAGAAGATAATTGAAATTTTATTATTATTCATTTATTTATTATAACTTTGTTATAACATAATTTTATTATATATTGTGTATATAGTACATTTACTATTACTGTTATTGATGGCGAGCATCAATTGGATGGCAAAGAACAGCTGGCTGGCATAGCATTAATTTAATGTTAAAGATGATAGTGGCAAGAGGTGGTTTTTGTCAAATGTAAATTACAGTCTTGTTAACATTTTCTTATAAAAAGAGCTGGAGCCGAATGTATCATTTCCAATATCTAATCATATATAACAATAATTTTTCTAATTATATCTCTTATTTTTAATTGGTTGGAAATAAAAACTAAAAATTTTTTTTTTCAAATACATTAAAGATGATTATAAAACATTATATTCTCTTGTCAACAAACAATGACGCAATATCAATATTTCAACTTTATAAAGAGATCCATGTTATTCTCTTAAGAGCAGCATTAAAATATTAATTAATTGTTTATTGGAAATATATTAACTAGAATTAAGCATGTTAGCCGAAATTGCCTCTCTTAATAAAAATAAATGATCATTGCCGAATCCGAAAATAATCACCAAAATCAACTTTGTTAGTTGTCGAAATTATATCTGAAATTGTTTGAACACTTTAACCCAATAGCCAAAATTCTCAGTAGTTTTATTATGTCTATTGATATAAAGAATATTGTAAATCCGAAATTGCTTGCCGAAATTGATTTTTCCAAAAACCATTTCAGCTAACATCCTTAACTAGAATTGAATTAACTTTGAACCATTAGAGAAACCACCATTTAAGATTACTTGCCAAAACCTTTTAATAAACTAATAATCCGAAACTTGGTCGCATTGCCTAAACTCAATCACTATGCCAAAACTGTGGTTTGTTGCCGAAACTACAAATGAATGCTGAAACTCAATACATTGAATTTCCAATCTACTAGGGTAATCTCTATCCTATCTCTGATGACAATATTTACAAGTTGCTTCGTAATGGCCTTTGGTTTTTTCATCTCCTTTTGTAAAATGGGTCCAAACTTCTGACAAATGGTCTATCGCCAGCATGTTTTCTTTTGTTATTTAACAATTCTGGTGTAATTGATGAAATTTCATATATATCATCATTTTCATGTCGAAAATGATTATCTATAAAGTATTTGATGTTTCTTGGTCGGATACCATTATTTTAAAAGTAATAATAAAAATATCCCACACACAAGTGATATATCACATGGTAATAAATACAAAAAAAAAATTTTTTAATTATTTTCGTGGAAAGGTTATTTAATAGGCGGGTTTTAATTATTCAAATTAAATCATTTGGATCATCATTATATGCTTTATGAATAATTAGTTACACAAGATGCACGTTTTATAGTTCCGGCGCATAGATTTAGTTTCGCACGTAGATTTAGTTTCGGCATTTTGCTTGCTTGAAAACCGAAACTAAAATTTTTAATTTGCCGAAACTATTGCCGAAATTTAGTAGTTTAGGCAAACTTCTATAGGTAGAATTATTATTATTATATAATGAATTAATTATATATATCAAATAAAAAAAAACAATACTTTTATAAATATTAAGAATTCTTAACTAATAATGATGAAAAGGAAGAGGTGATGAAGGCAGGACATTTCACCTGCACTGTAAAATCCCATGACGAAGTAGAAGAGAAAAAAAGGGATATTGGTTAATTATATTTGCCATTCATTCATTTACTAATTCGATCTTTCTATCTAGAAACTAATTAGCTCATATACACCCTAGACAAAAGTTTTCGGACACCATATATAAAATTTATATCATTGGCGGCCTGGTTTTGACGAACATGCGTGCAAACCTTCATAATTTTAACATCTAAAATTCTGGTAAATAAAAATACTGATTTCGATTAAAAAATTGATGTCATTTGTGAGCTTTGTATTTTCTCAAAAATCCACATAGTAAATAAATACAAACTATATGATCCGAAAATTCATGTTCCAAGGAATGTATGTATTGAAAATCATACTTCTAACACGCTTATATAATTAGATCTTGATCAACATTTTTTCATCATCTCTTTTTTACAAAAATGCCGATTTGGACGAGGAAAAATATTATGAATGGTAAAAGTATTGGAGCAATCAAATTACGCGTTATAAAATTCAGATGATGTTAAAAGTGATCTACGATCTGGTAGACCAAAAGGTTTAGATGATGACCACTATACATGCAAGCCTAAATTGATTTGGGAATGTCATAATATTACGGCATCTGAGTGATAACCGTAATTAGAGGCCGTAATGTCGTAATTAGGCCGTAATGTTATAATAATAATATAATAATCCATGTAATCCTAAATATAAATTGTTATTAAATGGTCATATAACTTCCAAAATATGTATGGCCGTGTTTGAATTAACTTTTGAGTTACACTCGTCGATTAATTGCAAGTTTTTATATTCAATTTTCATCAATTAACTTGTTTTACGAATTTGCTGCCACTTTCTTGTATCTAGAAAGTTTCGGTAAATCTGTAACCACACTTTTATGGCACAATTAGTGTTGGTCGAAAGTTAAAAGTCAAGACAAAAATCACGGTTTGATATAGGTTTGTTTAAGACAATCTTTCCAAATTTGGTAAAATTTTTAGGTCAACCCAACTATTCATGGCCTGAAATGTTATTATTATTATTATATATAATCAAAAGTTGGCCACCCATTATTCAATAAATAAGTTCATTTTTTACATTCACACAACGTAAAATACCTTAGACTTGTTAAAATTTTCTAATGAGTTGAGCATATCGTGATGAATTTGTCCATAACTGTAATTAATAAACTGGTATTAGTTTTATGAATATACTTTTATTTTTTTACCTTTGACTCATCATCCTATGTTATGTATAATATTATAACATTCTTCCATATATCTAATTTTCGTTTTTCATCTCTCGATTTTTTGGATAAATTAATTCAAGTTGAAAAAACAATTCAATCACCGTAGTAATAAAGAATTTACATAATTGAAAACTTATTCCGTTCATTTGATGCACACGTTGAGATTTTATGTCTTCTAATAAGAACTTGAACATCTGAACCAAAGAACTGGCAACCATCATATTTTTGAATGTAACCAGTTTTTTTTTCAAATTTCAATTGGAAGGCACCTTTAAAATTTAAGAGCTTTAAATCTCACCAATACAAATGTTATTTTCTATTGTTGAAACAAATACCTTTATATTTATAAACAAGGGATGGATGATTGATAACCAGTCCCGCAAATTTTTAAATGCGTCATTATAAAAAAAGACTTGCAATTCACCTCGATGAGACCAAATGAGTTGATTGTCTAGCAATCACTTTGTCATTCCAACACAACTTGTGGCCCAGAATGTTTGGTTCTTACATTATTTATTGGGTTGTACGATGGGACTATGTTTTTCAACAATTGTAAAAATAAAAATTGCATCTTCTCATTCAAAAAAAAAAAGATACAACTATAAAATTAAGTGATATTATAACAAATGTAATGGTCCACATGGTGACAGAGAGTTTTTTTTTAATTTTATTAGTAAAATCATCCAAAATATTAAAACTTTGAAACGTATAGGCTCAATAACCAAACAAGTTGGAGTAAAAAAATTTACATAGTTTTTTTCTCTGTGATTCAAAGAATAGCCTGACAGAGAGTTTTTTTAAAAATTATTATATAGTAAAAAAAAGTTTATTAATGATTAAAGATGTACGATTTTATTAATAAAAAATTTTTCGGTAATTATTTCCTTTTAAAGAAAACATGAAGTATCTTTCATAATAATAATAAAAAGAATCGTAAGAAAAAAGTCTTCGTGTTTAATAAAATACCGAAGCCCAATAAAAGAAAAAGATTAATTCATAATGCGTGTGCAGTCAAAAAAATGAAAACTAATTTCCCAGAACCTTTACTCCTTGTAGAATCTCCCGTAAGATTAATTGAATGAGAAAATAATGTTATGTATTTTATTAAGCATTTTCTTCAAAAGGAAAAGATTTTCAAAGGAAAAAAGATCAAAAATTTTACAATAAAATCGCATAACTTTGAATTCTTATAAATCCTTAATCTACTGATATTTTTTTAAAAAACTCTCTGTCAGGCTGTTCTTTGAATCACAGAGAAAAAAACTATGGAAATTTTTTTACTCTAACTTGTTTGGTTATTGAACCTATACGTTCAAAGTTTAACAGTATTTTTTAATATTTTGGATGATTTTACTAATAAAATTAAAAAAAAACTCTCTGTCACCATGTGGACCATTACATTTGTTATAATATCACTTAATTTTATAGTTGTATCTTTTTTTTTTTGAATGAGAAGATGCAATTTTTATTTTTACAATTGTTGAAAAAAAAAGTTAATTAGTAAATTTTATATAGTTTTGATCTACATAGTCCCATCGTACAGCCCAATTATTTATCGATGTTACAGTAGAGCTTGGAGCAATAGAATTTGTTTCTTTAAGACTACACAAAATCTCAGTTTCACAAATATATCCGAGAGGATGAATGGTTTGTCCAGTACGAATAGGAAATGCTCTATAAAAATCAGGAATATCATTAAATAACTTTATTTCCGAGAGTAACGGAAACATGACAACATTTCGACATAGTGTTAGCATTTGAGGAATGGATACATAGTTTCTGCCGATCATAAAAGGACGAATACAAAATATAATTGATGGTGAAAATGGAACTGGGCCACAACTATATATAGAAGGTCCTGATCCACTACAGCGTGTCGATCTTTTATAAAGCTAAATTTCAAATTTCCACATATAATAATAATACATAAAGTAATTTAATATAAATTAAAAATAATATTAAAAAACTGTTAATCTACAAAATTTTATTAATACCAACTATTTAGTCGAACAAATGATTAAGTATTAGTTTAATTGGATCTAGATATGTATGTTTTAATGATCAGCTATGTGTCTTGGCAAATCATTCTCGCTCTTGCCATTTACAGTGACATGTCTTGTGCCGTCAGAGGATTCTTTAACTACTGTAACATTCCCCTACAAATAGATTATTATTAATAAAATATATCAAACTATTTATTAATTAATTAACGGTCAAAGATAATAAGCAATACAGTAATTACCTCTGCATCTACTGTTTTGGTAACTGTTGTTCTAACCCCATTGATTACTTGTGTTGAGGACTGTGTACTTACGAAATTGCTAGTTCCACGACCACCACTTCCTCCAGAATATGAGCTTGTTGAATATGAAGTTGTACTACTATTTGTTGGGAATCCTCCGAATCCTCCGAATCCCCCGAATCCCCCAAATCCTCCAAATCCAGACATCATGTTCATGTTCATGTTCATGTTCATGTTATTGTTATGATTAAAAGCCCTCGATTGCATATTAGGTGGTATAAATTGATTTTGGAAGAATTGTTGATCAAATCCCATTGAAGTATTGTCTAAATGTTATTTGTTGTCATAGAAAATATTAATTGATAAAGTTTATTATATTCAATAAATAATATATATATATATATATAGGGAATATATATACTAAAGAAATTATTTAAGAATGGATCATTTCTGAAGAATTGCATGAATATTTCATTGGGATCATGGAACTAAAAATGCAAAAAAAAATATAAGCATGTGAATCAAATATTAAAAAAATAAAAAATAAATAAATAAATAATTAGATTTACAAATGGTTGATTTGCATTTTGCGAAGGAAATCCATTCTTGAGGCCTTCTTCTCCATATGAATCATAAATTTTTCTTTTTTCGGCTTTTTTTTTAAAAGAAACATAATATATTTTAATTAATTGAATCAAATCAACGAATGATGAATTAATGAATTAAAGAATAGAGCAAATCAATAATAATAACTTACAATCACTTAATACTTCATAAGCTTCTGCAATTAATTTGAATTGTGCTTCTGCCTCTTCACGATTATTCGCATTTTTGTCAGGATGCCATATTAATGCTAAAAATTATTTTTTGAAAACTAAGTATTTATTTGAACCTAAATTTAACGAGTCAACAAAGTAAAGAACTCTTATAACCTTGTTTTCTGTATGCTTTTTTAATATCATCGATTGTCGCATCAACTTCGACACCTAAAATTTCGTAGTAGTATGTGTTCATTTTTAAATGTTTTTGAAGATTTAAAAAAAAATGAATGTGTTGGAAATTAAACTTTGTCAATTAACAGTCACCCCTTCATACAATCACACCTCCATAAATAAAAAACTTTTGTACAATCACAACTCCTCACACTTGAAAATACGTAATTTTAAAAAAAAATTCTACAATGTTCTAGCCGATTCATACATATCACATTTTATTACTATATATTAAATTCTTCGTGTAGCTTGTTTAATTTATACTAATTATAATTAAGGAAGTTGCCACGTAGAGATAATCGCGGGCTTTTTGTATTGCAAGACCCGAAAAATATGCTGTATCTGAAGTTACACGAGCCTTGCCATTTTTTTTCCTTGAAAAATCTTTTATTTAAATTTTAACTTATTCTAACTAGTCTCTTATCACTGAACACACAAATTTTTATACGTTTTTAAATTTTATTTTAAACTTTTCAGTTATTTGCCTATTTGAAAGGACGAATCTTATTATAAGCTCAACTATAATGGTCCGAAATCCTCGTATTTTATCTTCAAAAGTCTTTAAAAAGGCTAATGTTAATGAAGAAAGTTTTGATGGTATTTAGTTAAACTCTTGTTAAATGTATGTGGGTTTTTCAAATTTACTCAAATACCTATTGTCATTATTATAAATGCTACTGTTTTAGATTTTATAAAAAGAAGGAGAAGCATACTAGAGAATCAACGATCCAGTATCTCATTATACACTTCTCCAATCCTAGTATTGACTTATTTTTTAGCATATTTGGTTCATCAATTTAAAATAATTATTGGGTATATACAATCAAGAAAATGGATTATATCATCTATACCAGCATTAATAATTCTAATTCAATTCACATTGTTTGTCGAAGGATCTCATAAAGATGTAAAAATCCTTTTATTTTAAATTAAAAATTTGCTTTGTAATAAATATTCATAATAATCTTTGTTGTATCAATGTAATAGATCATTGAATTTTTTATTTCATAATTATATAATATAATATATTAATAATCTATGTGTATAGATTATATATCGTTTTCAATCATCGGTTTTTTGGTATTCTTATTGGATAGGTTTAGGCATAGCTTCTTCAATTGGTCTCGGTACTGGCTTGCATACATTTGTGTTATTTCTGGGTCCTCATATTGCTGAAGTAACTTGGGCTGCTTATGAATGTGGGAGCCTTAAATTTGAAACTCATGGCCCAAACAGGTAAAGATTGAAATATTTTTTTCTATTTTTTTTTTTAAAAATTAGTAAAAATCTATTTATTAAATATTTTTTTAAAAAACAAAGATTTCGATGTCAACCTACAATTGAAGGTTCGATTGCGATATCACTGTGGTCTATATTTCAAAAGGTTCAATTGGAATCTTTTTTTTGGGGATTTGGTACAGCAATTGGTGAATTGCCACCATATTTTGTCGCTAGAGCTGGTTGGTTAGAAATTATTATTTAAATGACGTACATAATATATTTATAGTATATTATAATATATATTGACGTATACATATGTTATATAGCTGCTTTGTCTGGAAGTCGAAGCGAAGAATTAAAAGATATAGATAGATTGCTTAAACAATCACCAGAAAGTATATCATACAAGGAACGTTTTTTAATATCTATTCACAGATTAATGGGTCATTTAGGATTTTTTGGAATTTTTTTATTTGCATCGGTAAATTATATATAAAGCCTTATAAAAAATTTAAAATTTAAAATATTACTTATAAAATATTATTTATTACTTAAATAAAGATACCAAATCCTTTATTTGATCTCGCTGGTATTATATGTGGGCAATTTTTAGTACCATTTACTACGTTTTTTGGCGCAACATTTTTAGGCAAAGCAGTTGTAAAGTCTTCTATTCAGGTATTCCCTTTATTATAATTATTTAATAAAATAATCGATTATTTTATATTCTAATATGTTTAAAATTGTATTATTAGACAGTGATTGTAATTTTATTATTCACAGAAGATACTATTAAAACTATTCTAGAAGTTACAAGACGATATCTACCATATATTCATGATAAGCTAGAAGAAGCCGTAACACTACAAACTAAAAGGTTGAAACGCGAAGAAGGCGAAGATGCACCTGATATTGGTCCTGTATGTTTATTTTATTCTTTTATTCATCACGCGTTGTTGTTCTATTATTACGGAAATCAATATTTATATATATATATATATATATATATTATGTTTGTAGGGTAATCCAAGCTATATATCACTTATTTGGAATACTCTTTTTAATTTGATGTTAGCTTATTTTGCTCTTAGTATAATTGAAACACTAGCGATTGCTCATCTTAAAAGAGTACATGATCAAGAGATCGAAAAATGGGAGCAAAAGATAAAGGAAAGAGTTATTAAAGATGATGAGAGCGAGGACGATGATGAGGATGGGGAGGGGGGGGATTTAACAAATATGACAAGGAGTGAGGGTGATATTAAAAAAGAATCTGATTTAAATAACCAAGGTTATTCAAGTAGTTAGATCCATCCATCATGATGACAGCATACAATAATAAAAAATTTAATTGTCACAATTCAATTTTGTTTATTTATTTGTTTTCAGGAAAAAGTTTTTTTTTTGAAAATGCACTTTTAAATACGAATCAATAAATTTTTTAAAATTGATATTTCAGTAAGTAAATAAAATTTACATATCCTGGCTAATGCTATATAACGAACAAATGTAAATACATAAAATAAAATAAAATAAAATAAATAGAATATTAACAAAACTAAATAAATAAATTTTTATAAAATTTATTTTTCAAAAATCCACCACTACTATTCTATCTTCAAGCATTGGGGCAACAGTAACCCAGTCTTTAACAAAATCGGTCCTAGTCTGTGATTCAGAATCAACTGGTGTCTCTTCCAACTTAGCTTTGATCGTTTCGCCCATAGATAAATTTAAAGCATTTTTAATGCTATGACGTGAAATATGACTATAGGCTGATTTTTCACGTTTTGATTCTGCTAATTTTTTCCATTTCTCAAAGGCATGGAGTACTGATTCTTTGGTATGATCCTCACAACTCATGTTAAATTTGATTGCACTGATGTAATAAAGTCCTATGAAATATCTATGAATAAGGGTGGAAAGAGTAATTCCATTCTCGTCATCTATAAGATATTTGGTGGTTGGCTCCTTAAAACTTTCGAATCCATCATATCCGGCTGCAATATATGCTCTTGTGCAAACAGTATATGTTTTTTTCATATCAAGTTTTCCGATAATATTATGTGGTCCGGGATCTTCAGCTGATTCCGCATCTTCTTCGGATGATTTTCTTTCAGTCAACCAGACATTACGCAAACGTTTAAATGGTTCAGTTTTAGGATTATATTCGACTTTTAATCCACTTACAATAGGAAATCTACCTTCCTGTTTTGGCACCATTGAAACGCCATTTTCCAATGCATCCCAGATTTGTTGACCTGTAATACGTACAACAACCACATTATCTTCAAAAGGAAATATCTCTAATAGATCACCTAAAGTGATTTCACCTGGTGGATAAAGCAAGTCTGACCTTATACAACCACCACATAAAATTGCACAATCAATATTGTAACTGATACACGGCTGATAAGCATAAAGCATCAGATCAGCAACAAAATTTCCAAATGCTGTTTCTTGAGTCCTAAGTGATATTGATCTACAATCCCAAGGTGTCATTGTATATGCTACAGGTTTTGACATTTTGGCCGTAATTTCAGATGTAGCTTCTTCAATTAATTTGACCAAATCTTGATCTTCCTCAATTGAGGATCTTACCTCATGGCGTGTTGCTATGAATTATATAATTAAGTTTAAATAAAAAAAATTTTTAAAATAAGATAAAATTGACAAAAATTACCGGTCAAAGTTTTGATCTTTTTTCTATTATCAACATCATCAACGTCAAGTTCTAAAATAGTCAATTCTCGGAAATCTGTCCCACTTTTTACTACACGTACACCATCATCTCCTTCACTTCCTCCAATATTGTCGTCTCTTGTCCAATTCTTAACCACGTCACAACCTTTTCCTAAATAATAGAAATGATCATGACTTTTTACAAATATTTATTTATTTATTAAATTGATAGGTTATATTAGTTTATACAAAATGACAAGAAAAATTTTATAGAAACATAAGGATTATCATTAAAAACTTACCCTCCAAGAACCAAATCAATTTCATCTTTACACTCTTTAGCCAACATAATGTCATTTGGCAGCCGTGAATGTGACAATGCAATTACAAGATCGACAGCATGATTGTCGCGTAATTCTGTTGCAAGTTCCTTTCCAACTGTAATAAAATCTTTGTATTCCAAACTTGGTGGAAGTCTGTTTGAATATAAATAAATATATATAACTTTTAATCTCAAAGCATAATTTTTCTTTTTAAACTATTCTAAATTTTATTAACTTACCCAGGAATTGTTTCTAACCACTCTCTATTATTTATATAATGAAACAATTGGATTTATTTAATATAATAATTTTTTAATATATAATATACATTGTACTCGATTATTATATTTATATTTAATTACTTTTCAACTAATCCAATAATCCCAATCTTTAATCCACTCTTTTCTAAAATAATCCATTTTTCCCCACCAGTAATCGGACCACCAGTTTCAGAGTTAAGAACATTGGAGAGCAACCATGGAAATTTGGTTTCCATAATCAATTTTTTGAGTGTAGGCAAACCAAAATCAAAATCATGATTGCCTAAACAAGCTACATCTATGCCAAGTCCATTCATTGCTGGTACCTTTTGTTCATTTTAAATAAAAAATCGGATGGTGTTTCTTGTTTAATTGTTTGATTCATTTGAATTTATACTAAAAAGTCAATCAAATCAAAAGAACTTTTAAAAACAACAATTATCATTAAGATTGATTGTTTGGATACTATGCCATATGTCGACCTTTGCTTATGCTACTTTCCACCGATGGGTTGAAAGCATCTCCACTAAACAATACACAAGAATTTTCAACGCCATATTTTTCTCGGAATTGTTTTACCACGGTGGCAAACCTTGCTACTCCTCCAATAGGCTCTTGTTTTTGTGGTTTAAGGTGATAAACATCATTAAAATGAAAAATTTGAATTTTTGGCATTTTGTTCAAACTTTACAAAAATCTATAAAAAAATTTTTTTTTTATATATTGATTATTATGCCTAATACGGAAGGATGGATTCAAATTCGAATGAAACCGGTGTTCCGCAGCAAAACCCAATTATATTTGTCATCCTGGGCCCACTTAAAAGCTATTGGCATAAGGCTTTGTCAGAATATCTGGTTTCTTATTATCTTTAAAAATGAGCATTAAAAAAACGTTTGCCTTTTATATATATATATATCGAATCTAGAAAATTTGGAGAACTCCTTTGTTGATCAATTTATATATGTAGCAAATTAGTGATGGGAATTTTTAACCACACTTGATAATTCCAAGTTATTAATTAGTTATTATTAACCACTTATTAACTATTTCATTCTGAGCAAGATCTATTAACCCAAAGAAAACCTATATACAGACCAAGTCTTTCCTAATTTGGAAGCCTTATTGCTATTTTGCAAAAAAATTTATTGCCTATAAAAGTTCTTCAGGTTTGTGTTTTTTTGACACCTAAAATAAGTCACTAATAAAGTCATGAACTAATTAATAACTTGATCATTTTAAAGATAATTTTTATGTCCATCACTATGGCAAACGAGTTGGTGTGATACTTTGCTGCCCTTTTGAAAGTCTTTTTTTTTAAAAAAAATTCCCAATACTAATAATCAAAATAAGCAATATTAGACTTGCTTTTCATAATCTACTAAAAATCTACAATGATCTGTTAATTTGTTCAAATAAACTTTTACATAAATTTTTTTTTTCTTTTTGAACTTTAATGGATAAAACACATAAAACGTCAAGATCAATTGCACTTGCTGAGGAATATTCAGAGAGTCATTCGAGATAAATATGTTAAATGCAATAGAGAATAAAGTAAAAGATTGTTTAAAACCATTTGCTAAATATTTGTTTATTCAAAGCATGCTTTTACAAAATTAAATGATGTAACAAATTTATTCATTTTTATAGTTCCAATCATATTAGAATTACCTACAAGTGATAATGAAATTAAAACAATTATAATAGTGAATGATAAAACAGGTAAAGTAGTAATATACACTTTCTGGACAAAAGTTTCGGTCACCATAAAACAATTTATTGCACAATAACGTACATAATAAAAATATAAATAATTTTTATCAATCGTAATTAATGATTCTCATGCGAAATTTCAAGCTTTCATAACGTCTAGGAGAATAACAAAGAATAAAAGGCTTGACCAAAAAAATAATTTTGAAAATGATCTCTAAATTTGATTTTTATTTCAACCATAAAAAACCCGCTATGCTGTTCATTTAAGCATACAATTAATTAAAAAATATGATGAAGGAAACCAGGCATCAGTTGGATTACAACTTGCAGTAATTTTATATGGATTAAGTTATTGAAATGCCTACTATGTTTGGTATTTAATATAAATGCTAAAGTTCCTTCAGCAAAGAATGAGTTTTTTACAAAATACATTTATGACTGACGAAGATAATAAAAACAAGGGCTTGGAATAACTCGGATCGATATACAAAGTAGTTTTTTCTAGATGTTTCTCTGTATTAAAATGCACAGAAACCATATGGATAGATGGCCCGAAACTATAATGCACTGGTTCCGTTAGTGTTGGTATTGGTATTATATTAGTATAGCATTCGTATCGTTTCCATATTTTAGGCACGGGGAAGCGTATTTCTCCATGCCAAAAATGCGTTTTTCATGTAAAAAATTTTAATTCAACCTATTTATGTTAAGTATGATTTATTACTCGAAGGCAACACTACTACATGTTAACAACAGCGTTGATCTGCCCCGCAAATAGGAAATTAAAATATCTACATGAAGACTTGGGAGTTTCAAGTTAATTATTAATCTACCTTTGAGGAGTAGGGTGGAAGGAAATAATGGTGGAAGGAAATAATGGTGGATACAAATCATTTTGATATCAATAAGGGATATATCAAAAATACTGCTGTTGTTAACAGTTCTTATAACCTCTCACACAAACATACACGCCACCATTACCATTTGATTAAAGCTAATAACTTTTAGAAGATGGTATATATACGTTTAGGGCATCTTACTAGTTGAGTACACTTTACAAGAATTTGCACTTTCTGTGTCTATTGTATTGTTTAATGGCTTTTATTGTGTAATTGGTTGGTAATTCAATTCAACGCGCACCTCCCAGGAAAATGGACGCTAAAATATAAGAGGCCAACAGTTTTAGCAAATATATTAAGTAGAGTTGGCAACATTAAAAATTTATTAACAGCTCCATCATCCATACACACACAGTAAGTAATACTTGATGTTAAATTTCCTTTTTAAAAATTGTCCCTTTCTTAAAGTTATAGTTAATTAAAAATGAAATAATAAAAATGAAGCCTTCATCACTGTTATCATTTGTAAAAATAAGAGACAGTTTTTATGGTAGTATTTTATTGAGGTTCTATGGTGTTGTATAAGTAGCATTCATAATTTCCTTCAATTTTCCAGATTTTAAGAGAATTGTCTAAAAATTTTTCTTGATCTTTGTCTATTAATATATCTTTTTGGTTGGTACTTTTGTTGCAATAGAATGTATCATCAAAAAATTCAAACCGTCTTTGACCAGAACAAGAAGCAAGCAAAGGAAAATAAGGATGAAAGGTTGTGGTTGAAATTAAATCTATAAAAAAAAACCAGATCTACTATGTTTATTATTAATCCTGATTTCAATTTTTTCTGACATTGTAATCATACCTTTATGCCCATTCATTTGTAAATTTAATCGTGTCATGTTTTTTTCATCAGGATTTGCCAAGTCATAAAAAATTATTTCTCCATCCTCATGATAAAAAAATGTTTCAATAAAATATTTTAAAAAAAATATTATATGATAATTTAAAATATTATTTTCTTACTTGATCCCCGGTTACTAAAAAACCACCGCTGTTATCAATATCAAATAGGATCCTTTGATTTGTTTCACCTTTACGATATAACTTATATAGAACCTCACCGGTATTTCTTATATCCCAACAACGAATATAATTATCTCGTCTTGACGCAGAGAAGAGATATTTCCCATCAAGTGAGAATTGCAACTATTTTTAAAAATTCAATTGATAAGTTATCTTTAAATTAAAAAGTATCTTAATAAATTTTACCTGAGTAATACCATCAAATGGATCATCTTTATTTCCTTTAAAAAGATAAAGCAATTCGTTATTATTCTCATCATAAAGTCCTATTGTTTGAGAATAAGAACCAGCTGCATATAATCCTGACCTATCTGGATTAAATGTAATCGATGAAATTATGCCTAATATATAATAAATATTAAAGAAAATCATTGAATTCATGCGATTGATTAAATGTTAATCATACTTGTAATTCAAAAAATTTTAATTTTAATGAGAACCTTTTTGTCCTTCTTTGCTTTTGCGTGTAGGTGTCGTAGGACATTTCTCTCCCTCAAAGTTTGGACGAGTTGTATCAAAAATCTGAACCATGTTTTTAAATCCACAATATATTCTATGATTTTTTTTGAAAATTGTAATCAATCTTGAAAATAAAAAAATCCTTCACAAGTGTTTAAATAATAAACCTTACTTGCTACCATCCAGGTTAAATGATAATGAATTTGGACCTACGATTTGTTCTCGATGATTAATTATAGTATAAGATGCCCTTAACTATAAATATAAATATAATATAAATGTAAATATACAAATTTATGATTAACAGACTATATAAATAATGCTCATAAAAGTTGTTACTTTTCCTGTAAACGCGTCCCATAATCGCACAGGATGCTCTCTACTTGATGTGATGAAACAACAAGTTACGTGGTCTATTCTGGAAATTTTGATGAATTAGAAATTATTTGTAAGGATTGTTAACCATTCAACGTATTATTATTCACCTTGACTAGACATCATAGGATACCAACAACAATCATACACTGTGTCCCCTTGGTGATAACTGAGTGCTGGCGTCAAGTCACATTCTATATAATCTTTTCAAAATTATATTATATACTGTATGTATATATTAACTGAAGTGTTGAATCAACCTACCTTTTTCAATTTCAAAAATATTCGTTGGTCTAAAAAATGGTTTTATTTTTAAAAAACATTTAATTCTTAATAATAGTGTAATAGTAATAATAATAATAATAATGACAGCAATAATAAATAATAATTGCATACAATTCGAAAATTCTCAATAAATTGTCATTTGAAGAGGTTAAAATACAAGTTCCATCAGGAGACCTTGATAAATAAAACTAACAATCAATTAATCAACATCAACAACATTCATGTAAAAAACATTTCCAAGGATAATTAATTACCACTTGGCAACTTTAAAAAAATTATCTTCCGAGCCATTTGGTATGTAATTAGATTCTTTTGGGTTTACATGACTTTTGCAAAATTTGTTGATGCTTTCCAAAACGGTTTGATTAAAAAGTTTTTTGGTCGAACAAAGAGAATTGAAAGATCGAGAAAAATCATATTTGAAAAGTTGAAAATATTGTTCGTTTTCTAAACTTGTTTCAACTTCTGATAAATTAGAAGTTTCATTCTGTTTTTCTAAAAATTCGCTATTTACTTGAACATCATCTGAAGTGAAATTCATTGTTACAAAATTAAAATCAAAAATCAATCTTAGATTATCAATTCTATAATTAATCAAATTTTTTTGCTTGAAGTAATATCTCAATATATTATGGATCAAGTTAAAACAACTGTTACAGCAAAAAGAAGACTTGACCATTTCACTCAATCTCTAAAACCGCAGGCTTTTCAAAATGACAAAAATGATGATATGACAAAATACGGTGTTCATACATCATTTAATCCTGAAAAGAAAAGTAAATTTTTTGATATTTTTTCATTTTATTTTACCTTCTGTACTCAATTATTTGAAATGTACAGTTACCACAATTCGTATCGGTGATGTTTCTTTAAACATAACGGAATCAAAAAATCTCGAACTTGTTCCCGAATACCTTGAACCACTTTATGAAGAGTCGCAAGTTTGTAAAAAAAACTTTTTAATTTTAAACATGGATTTCACAAGTTCAATATTATTAATCGTTAATATTTTAGGAAATCCTTCGACATTTAAGATGGTTAGATATTTTAAAATGTTGTGTTTTGATCAGTTGATTGAATTAGATTACTCATTTTTTAAATAATTATTTAGGATGATGCAAAAAGATAAACTTGGCCAAGATATATTTCTCATAGGGTAAACCTTTTTTAAAAAAATCAAGTTAACTCAATTATATTATCATTATAATGACAATAATTTATTTAAATCAAGCCCGCCGGGAAACCTACGTAGAGCCCTTGTACTAAGATATGCTCAATTAACAAATCGAGAAATCGAGTATGTTCCATTATCAAAGGACTGCACCGATTCTGATCTTAGACAACGTAGAGAAATATCTGGTGGGACAGCATATTATGTAGATCAAGCATGTGTAAGAGCTGCAATAAACGGCAGGATTTTGATTTTGGATGGAATAGAAAAGGCAGAGAGAAACGTGCTCCCTATATTAAATAATTTATTAGAAAATAGAGAAATGGCTTTGGAGGATGGTAGATTTTTGGTTCATCCAAAGCGTTATGATTTGTTGATGAAATCAAAAAATAAAAGTTTAATGAAAAATTGGAAATTGGTTAAGACATCAGAACGATTCATTGTGGTGGCTTTAGGCTTACCTATCCCACCTTATGTAGGGCATCCATTAGATCCGCCATTGAGATCTAGATTTCAATCAAGAGACATAAAGCAACCAAGTTTTTATACGCAAGTTAATCATTTAAAAAAAATAGCTCCCGGTGTTACTGATGAAGTAATTGAACGTTTGGTTTCTGTTGCCATTGTACTCAGAACTCTTCAACGGGAAGGAAGTGAGGGAGTTGTAATACCAGAATTCCCTCTTTCAATTGATCTTAGTATTATGATTATTCAAAGTTTCCCAAACATTGAATTACGCTTCTTATTAGATCTGTTATATCCATGGCCATTATTACCCACATGCGAGAATCAACAAATGAGCATCATAGAAGCTACATATCATCGTTTTGGAATGCTTTTGTATATAGAAACTAACACAGAAAATAGTGAGGGCAATCAACAAAAAAGTGAAGTAATAGTTCAATGTTCATCAGGTTATCAAGTAATTAACATTAAAAAGTCTGAAACAATAGAAAACCCCTCTTCAAGTGACCTCTCCATTTATCAAATTGAATTGACTTTTAAACCAAAAGACTCAAACAACAAAAATATTACAACTAAAGTTTTTGGTGGTGCCGGCGTCCCTTCACCAGCTGAATTTTTTGTGGAAACAGATTATCACAAAACCATTTTTAATTCGATGTTAATAGCGCATTCTGTTAGTGATTTTTGTGTAATTGGAGTGAAAGGTTGTGGAAAAAGTGCTTTGATTAGACATTTTGCAAAAAACCTTGGGTAAAAATAAATCATATATATTTAAATAAATTAGTTTAATTTAATGATAAAAAATGGTATTTATTTATCATTTATTAATATATAAATGACACTCAGTTACACTGTTGAATATATACCACTTTATAAAGATATGTCAGCACGAGACCTTCTTCAACATCGGAGTACAACATTTGCAGGTGATACTGTTTGGGAAGATTCATTATTAATCAAAGCAGCATTATCTGGAAATTTAGCTATAATGGATGGTATTGACACACTTTCATATGGAACACTTGTAACCCTACAACGCTTAATTAAAGAACGTGAAATTTCATTACCTAATGGAAATAAATTGATTCATCCTATTAGATATAAGAATTTAATGCAGAAATATGGATTCACAGACAAGCAGTTACATAATAAAGGCATTTTTATGATTCATCCTGCTTTTAGGATTGTAACATTAGCTCGACCTGTTAGCGGTAGTGGCGATGAAGGAAAACCCGGTTCATGGCTATCGCCTGAAATCGTCTCTTTGTTTCATTTTATTGTTGTAAGACCATTGAAATATTTGGTAAATTGCTTTTTATATATATATGAGATTATTGGTAATATATAACATCTAATAAATGATCCATGGATATTTTAAATAGGAAGAAATGCATGTTCTCGAAAGCTTGTCACCAGGGGTAGATAGAAATAACCTTTCTTTGCTTTTACAATTTGCTAATCGGCTGCGTCAAGACAAAGATGAAACCATTAAGATGTTATCTAATGCTCTTTCTACAAGGTGATTGGTTCATCATTAAATAACTTATTTATTGATTTTTTTGATTAAATTTCTTAAAATTTATGGTGTAGACAATTGATCCGTATTTGTCGACGTCTAGCAGTGTTTCCTGATGAAAGTTTACATCAAGCTATCCATAAAGTTTCTTTATCAAAATTTTTGCCTTCTTTAGCAAAAGATGCATTAGAAGAATTATTAGTAAAAAATGGTATACTTTCATCTGAAAAATCGTATAATAACGAACAGGTAAAGAATTTACAATTTCTCATCTTACTAAATATACACGCTCTCATATATATATATCTTTTATATATATCTTTATCATTATTATTATTATTATTATATCAGTTAAAAATTGAATTACTCCCAACAAGATCTAATCCTAGACTATTGAGAATTGGAAATGTTGAACAAAATATTTTACAAGATTCGAATCCACTTTTGGTCCCTAATATACTTTTTTACGAAAATCCAAAGCAGACAGAAATTTTGATGCAAATGTTACAAGATTACCAATTAGGCAAGCAAGAATATTAAATTTTTGTAAAAATGTATCGTGACAATGCTATTATAATAGTTTGCTAAAAAATATTTAATATATTAGGCGAACATTTACTTTTAATTGGCAATCAAGGAGTAGGAAAAAATAAGTTAGCAGATTATTTTTTGCAACTTTTAAAATTACCAAGAGAGTATATACAATTACATCGGTTTGCATTCATTTTTAATTGCTCGAAATTCTTGATATAATGTTTTTTTCAATCAATATCATAATAATATTTTTACTTTTTAGTGATACGACTGTTCAAAGTTTAACCGTTACGCCTTCCATAGTAGACGGTGTCTTACAATTTGAGGATTCTCCATTAGGTACGTTGGTTAAAAATTTTATTAAATGACACATACAGATATATATAATGTTAATTTTTAAAAAAAAAAAATTAGTAAGAGCTGTTAAAAACGGTATGGAATTAAACAATTGCTTTTCAAAGATGTACTTTATATTAATTATCATCATTAAAAAAACTAAAAATAACTGCATTTTTTTGAAAAAAGGGTATATATTGGTTGTTGATGAGGCTGACAAAGCACCAACATATGTAACGTCAATTATAAGGAATCTTTTAGAAGATGGACAAATGGTACTAGGAGATGGTAGAAGAATATTATCATCCATTACAACTGAAAATATGAAAGAAGAATGTATTGTCATTCATAGAAATTTTAGAATGATTGTTCTTGCTAACAGACCAGGTAAATATTCTATTTAATAATTTATTTTATATTTGACACTTTTAATTAATATTTATTTTTTGGTGATTGTTATTATAGGTTATCCATTTCTTGGTAAGTAATTGTATTTTGAACTATAGAGTTAACTATTATTATTTACATATGTAAATCACTTGATTTTTATTAATAAAATTTCCTGTTTAGGTAATGATTTTTACCGTGAGGTTGGAGATGTTTTCAGTTGGTAATTTTACCTTTTTTTTTTTTTTTTTTTTTAATATCTATTTTACAAGCTTTAATTGATTATCATAATAATTAAACTGAGATTATTAGTCATGCAGTAGATAATCCTGGTCCAGACTCTGAGATGTTTTTATTACGCAAATATGCACCTGACGTCCCAGAAGATTTATTATTGAAGTTAACAGCTGCGTTTAGTGATTTAAGAAAATTAGTAGACGAGGGATTAATCAGTTACCCTTATTCAACCAGAGAATTGGTTAATGTTGTTAAACATATGCAGGTCCTTAAGTGTTTCACGCTTGATAATTTTTTATATTTATCATATCCTACTTATTATTAATATATTATTTTCCATAGGAGTTTCCTAAAGAAGGCATTGCACGTATTTTACAAAATATTTTTGATTTTGATCAATATGATCAAGAGTCAAAAGAGCTTTTGTTCAAGGCTTTTGAAAAGCATGGAATACCTGTTGCGCTAGAATCGGAATTTATGATAAATTTAGGTGAAAAAATATCATTAAGTGATCCAATTGTAACGGAAGTTTGGACAAAAACTGGAAATAAAATTAAATATTGTGAAATTAAAAAAGAAGAAATTTTAATGAAAGTAAGATTAAGTAAAGTTTTATATAGACTTGTTTTGGAAATTTTAATTAGAATTTTTTTAAAGTTGAAATTTTATAAAGGATGGTTGGGAAATTCCAGTTGGAACCCCTAAAGAGCTTGAAAGGACTGAAGGTAATTCAAATTTTTGATTGATGATTGAATAAATGAATGAATTATATTTAGACGATTTCATTATTATATTAATTTTTTGTTTGTGTCTTTATTCCTATTTATTTATTTATTGTATTTCTTAGGCAGAACCATGACCTTTACTGAACAGACATACAGTTTTAAAATACCTACACGCGGGGAAGCATTAGACATAGTAGGATTGTCTGATGGATCTTTATTTGTTGTTACGACAAATCCTATTACATTACACGCAATCAATCAAAATCATCGAAAAATTAGAAGCATGGATTTGTATGAATATTTTCCATTACAAAAAGGTAACAAGTAAAACTTAATTTTAGAAATTTTGATATTGTATTTAATCGTTGTTATGATTTTGTAGCACCACCAGGGTTAAAGATGACAATAGTACAAACACAAGAAAATGGCTGGTATTTGTTATTGCATGATCCAATAGCAAATTCACTGCTTTGCATTGACTTTGCAAGAAGTCCAAAAATGTCTGTCTTGGTTTTTTTAAATAAAATCCCTGTAATTATTATTTGATAATATAAAGATGAGATAATTGTATAATTGCTTTTATATACTAATTTCTTGTTTTTAAAAACAATTTATAGTTGACAGGGTTAAATCCAACAAAATCTGTAATGTTAAAAGACTTTGAATCTACTGGTATTTTAGGTAATTATATTAAAAAAATATTACTATATTTTGTTTAATCTAATATATTTGATGTTTTACTAAACTTACTAAATATATATACGCATTTAAAGTTTTCTACCAGAGCGAAAGATCAACTATTCTAATGTTAGATTTTAATATAAATACAATGTATACAATTGAAGTGCCTGTTAAAAGTAGGTTTTCAAGCCTCTTAACATATATTTTTCAATTAATGATTAATTACAATAATTTTCTAATTATAATTAAAATGTAGTTTCAAAATTATTTTTGCTTAAACCAAATGCATGGTTACTCAGAGATAGTGTTAGCGGACATTATCATATCGTTTACGCAAATAACCTTGATGGGCAGAATTTGTAAATATTCTACATTTAAAAAGAGGGTTTTTAATTTAAAATAACTAATTATCCAAATATATTTATTAGGGTTCCAAACATCATACTGCAAATTGATATAAAGAGTTTGCTGAAGCCTACCCCAGATGAAATTACTTTCATATCCCAAGATGTAATTCAACAAGCAAGTTTGTAAGTATTGTATTGATTTTTTCTTAGATGTATGGTAATGAAAATTGCAATTTCTAATTATTTGATTATTAAAATATAAATTAGCATGTCTACAAGATTTTTACAAAGTAATGATGATTCTATAGCTGCTTCTATTATTTTAAATTCGCCCGAGACTTTGGTTGACGATATTAAAACTGAAATCATTTCATATATGAGAAAGCCTGGAGATGATTGCAAAAATTATTTCAATGATATTAAAAATTCCTCTATATCGCTTAAGAAGACAGGACAATTGGCAACTGTTATTCCATTAAAGGTAATAATGATAATTATATTTATTAATGCACTTTCAAAATATTTTATTGAAATTAAAAATTTTTTAAAAAAGGACGGGAGAAGTGTAGGAAATTTAGAGATATTTAATCCTGTTGAAAATGCGTTATGGCGCATTACAATTCCTTTAGCAATCCAAGTGCCTAGTTTCAGCATAAGGTATACATCATACAAATTATTTATTTAAATATTTAATTACGTTACAATAACACTGATGTACAAATAAATAAATATTATATTAGTGATTCAAGACCTATCGAAAATCCCTATTTATATTTTGATAGAATAGCAGCAACACTGTTAGAATTACCTAATGGAGATTTATTAACAATGGATATTAGTGGTAAGTATACGAGTTTATATGATTGATGAGGCTTAATGTTATTTACGTATTTAAAAAAAACCTTCCCTAATTTAGGCGTTGTACGTATATGGCAAGTGGACGCTGGTCAATTAATTTTGGCTGCCAATACTTGGAGAAAACTCGTTGGAAATCTAGATCAGCAAAAGTTGTCGATTATATACGAAACTGATGAGGTTATTAGGATTTGATTAATGTGACATTATTTTATGTAATGTTTTTTAAAAAAAAATTAATAATAAAAAAATAGGAAAAAATTTCAAGGGAAAGATCCGGGAATGAGGTTGAACAAATATTTCAAGACAGGATCGGTGAAAATATTGGAAGTGGCGAAGGTGGAGGTGAAGGTGAAGGCGGCGGCGAAGGATCTGGTAGTGGTAATGGCGAAGATGGTGGCGATTCATTGAATTTAATGGGTAGAGAACCTACCTTTATAGATGTTAGTAAACTGAGTTTGGTGAGTGGATTTTTATTATAATTGGTGTTTATACGTTTAGATTATTAAATGAATTGTCATGAATAGAGAACTGAAATCCCACCACCTATCAAACTTACAGCAGCACAAAGGTTTTTGATTTCTAAAAAAAAATAATTGCTCAATTTAACAATCATACAATCAATCATCTAATAATCTTTTTTTTTAAAAAAAAAAACAGAGATTTGCATGAGTTGACTATGCGTAAAAAACGAGAACAAATAAATATGACACAAGAAAATATGAATTTATTTCAATCATATTTAGTGAATGTGCAAAAGGAGATTCATGAATTGCGTGTGATTTTGGAAAGTATAGAGGCCAAAAAAAAAGAACGTGTTTGGCTTAAGAATCAAAGTTCTGGAGATATTGATGATACTAAACTGTAAGGATTTTTGATAAAATCTATGCAATATTTTTTTTGTCTAAATATGCAAGTTTATTGATATACAATCATATAACCGCATATACATAGGATTGAAGGATTGACTGGAGAAAGTAATATTTATAAGAGACGTGGTGATAATGATCCTGATTTAGGGTTTTTTCAGGATAAACCTAAAAAAATGTTTTTTGCTTTTGATCTTAGTGCAAGGTATAAATTTTTAACAAAAAAATTAAAAATAAAATTAGAATTTAAAATATTACTTTATTTTTTATAATTAGTATGTTTAGGTTTAATTCTCACGATAGAAGATTAGATAGATCTATGGAAGTGGCACTTAGTAAGTGATAATTGTTAATCAAAAATGTTAAATTTGAATTGTAATTACTTATTTTGATTTTACTTTAAAAATAGTGATAATGGAATCGTTTAAATCATTTGAGAATAAATTTCAGTACCGTATTGTTGGGCATAGTGGAGATTCACCGAATGTAGAATTTGTTAAAGAAGGAAAATATCCACGAAATGAAAAGGAAGAGTTCAAAATATTAAGCCAAATGTATTTACACTCGCAATTTTGCCTCAGCGGCGGTAAGATCTCACGTTAAAAAATTTTAGTTTTTAATAATAGGCATGATTATTCTTAAAATTTATTCTTTGAATAATAAAGACAATACTCTAAATGCAACGGCTAATGCTATAAAAGAAATAACAAAAGAAGAGGCTGATGACTATTTCGTTGTAATACTTTCTGATGCAAACATCGCACAATATAACATTAATCCAACGGATATTTCAAAAAGTATGTAATTAATTTATTATTATACGTAGATGCACGTATATTTACATATATATTAACGTCATTGATTCAATTAGCACTAAAATCAGATGATAGAGTGAATGCATTTATAATATTCATTGGATCTATACAAAATCAAGCCGAAAGGTATTTATTTATAATTTTCAATTTATTAATAAGATTATTAAATCAATTAACTGTTTTTCTACTTTTGATTTATACTAAAATAATAATAAAAGACTTCGTGATAGTCTTACCGGACATGCACATGTTTGTATGGATAATAAGGATTTACCGAAAATTATGAAATCAATTTTTTTAGCTTCAATGTTAAAAGGCTAAATTTTGTGGAATCAAAATTAGTTTATTTATTTATTTGGACATTTGGACAATGTAATTAGAAAATTTAGAGTTACATTATAGTAATTGAATAAACCTTTAGATAATTTATTTATAGTAAATATTTAAAATCTAACAATACTAGGTTAATTAATAAATAGATAAAGTTATATTTTCTTTAACGATTAGCTTGGAAACACGCTCTAAAAATCATCAATTAGTTAATATTAAATTCTTTTTTAAAGAATAGATCAAGATCTTTCAACTGATAAAACCCTCCCTGTTCAAATTTTTAATTTACATTGGTCCGCGTGAAGATTCAACTCGTATCGGTAGTGCCGGGTACAGTTAGATGTTTCACCTCTTTGTAGAGTAAATTAATCTATTGCATTATTAACAATTGAAGTTGTAATTATTTTTCCCACAAAATTTCTATTGATTATTATTCTGAATATATTATAGTAATAATAGACATGCGAAGATGTTAAAATTATTGCTAGAGTAATTTCAAACGCGTGTTTTTACAATTCTAAATTTTCCGCTGTTACGACACGCACGTATAATGCAAGGCACTTAGTCCCTACAACTTCCTGCGTCACGGTGTCAGTTTCGATTAGTATATACCTTGTCAAAACTCTGACGATTGGCAAAACCCTCAAATGCGAAACTCTGCCAAAACTCTAATAAACAATTAATGTGTAACCTGTCGAAACTCTATCGATTGATTTCTGGAGGAGTTTTGCCCACAACCTTAGTCTTTATTGAGGTGTTGTTGTGATCTTTAAAAAATTGAAATTGTAATTGAATTGTTAAAACCGAATAAGTTATATTAATATTGAAAAATAATATGTGAATAATAAAAATTGCTAATATCTTGAATGTGTATAAATAATGAAACACTGTACATTATCTCACATCACTACATTGTGGAATAATGAGTGGGTTGAAGAATTCCTTTCAAATCTAAACCGTACATGTTGGCCAAAATTAATTCTATTAGTAAATGATCATTGCCAAATTCAAAATGCCAAAATTCTGGGTAGTTTTTCTGCAATAATTAATATAGAGAATATGGAAAAGCCAGAATGTAGCCAAAATATTTGGCAAATGCAAAACCAATTTTGGCTATCTAAACTAAGATCATGGGTCATAAAATAATGAAAAAACTAATACTAATACTAACACATGAGAATTTCCAAACCTTGTCATAACATTACTAAATTTTGATCCCTGTAATTCTTAGTAAAAATGTTCATTTTGTCTGGTTTTGTTGTAGTATGCCCCAAATGGCAACATTCCAAAAAATCGAACAACAAGTACGAAGAAGCGAAGCAGAGGTTGGAAGGTGGGAGAAGGGAGATAAACAGAAGAAGATAGATGAGTTGTTGGGAGGAAAGGCAGAAAAACGTGAAGGGAAGTTTGATTATTTGGTTAACGAGAAGAAAAAGTTGGAGAAGGGCAAGGAAGATTGGAAAGGACAAGTGGTGAAGTTACAGGATGCATTGACTGAATTTAGTAAAGGAAAAGGCAATGAACAAATTACATAAAAAAATATACAAAAAATTATTTTCCATTCATTCCATTTCGTTTTATTTAATTATGAACTTTTATATATTGTGTATTGTTCATGACTTTAATTTTATTATTATTTTATAGCTTTTTTTTACTTGTTATTTGGTATACTATTTGCAACCTTGATTAACTTGGGTTTTTTCTTGCAGATAATCAATCAGCCTTCAGTGCTCACTGATGATGTAATTAACCAAAAAAGAAATTCATGAAAGCATTACCTTAAAGAAGACTGAAACTATTTCTTTATCTTCATTCAATACATCATCATCAATTAACTTGACATGACTCTTGTTGCACTGAATTTATTAAAAAATTCCACATAACTTGATAGCTTTTACTAGAATAATCAATTTACACTTTTTTTTTTAAAAAAAGTTACAATTTAAAGACCAGTTATTTTGGATGTGTTACTGTGACACACACTGTAGAGAATTAAAATGAAATGCAAACCATTTAAAAATCTTTATTATTATTGAATTGAGCAAGAGTTCCTATTTCTAATACAAATTCTTATTTGAATTATTTGTTTTATTTGGTTTTTTTTTATTCATTATTCATTTATTCAAATCACCCGAAACATTTGTTTGTCCCTGTAAAAAAAACTGATCTGTGATTAAATAGATCATATTCATGGAAAAATCATGGAAAGGCAAATGACAGTTTGAATTGTTCATTTTATTTTGTTTATTTGAATCATTTGAATCATTCATTTTATTTGCTTTGCTCTCTAAGTTGAGCAGATTCAAGTTTGAGCCAAGTTCAAGAAAATAGGTAAATTGTTTTTTAGGTAATATGGGCAAATAAAATAAAAAGTTAACATTCATTACTTGAAAAAATTTTATGTAACATCAAACTCTAGCCTGGCTCAAACTTGGCTTGAACTTGAAATTTTGAGCTTTATTTAGCTCAAGCCAGCTTGGCTTGTTTGGCAAGACAAATGATGACCTGATCACCAATTTAAAAGCCATTTGCTCCATAAATCCCAAAGTATCCTTGGTGCAAGGTGGTTGTCTGCACTGAGAAATATACTAATAAACTGCAGCCAAAAGACTTTTAAATGTACATCTTGCAAAACTATCATTGATAGAAATGTAAATGGAGCCTGTAATATACCTTTAAAGTAACCCAACGAGAGTTGCTAATGATGTTGGTGCTTACATCTGACACGCCTTATTGCAGGTTGTCTACATAGTGCTTGTACTGAGATATAAACAGGTTCAAGAAGTTAATAATTATTTTTTTTTTGGATTAATTTTGTGTAATACAAATTTACTAAGTGATACATGAAGCATTTTTTAAAATTTATAATAAAAAAAAAATTTTTCGATTAGAAAAGCACATGAATTCCGAAGAAACTATTTTTATTAAATCAGAAAAAGAAACCTACAAAGAGATAAAAGTAGAAAGTATAGAGCTAAAATTTGACAATAATGCTACAATATTACGAGATGTAAAAGGCATCTCTTCAAATAGCAACAATAATAATAAATGTTCAAGTAATAAAAGATCTGTTAATAATGTTGATAAAGATCCCGAAACACTTGCTGCAGAGTTAGCCATTAAAAGAGCAAGAAATACAGATGCTGCTCGTCGTAGTAGACATCGTAAAGTTATGAAAATGGAATCACTTGAAAGCCAAGTTTCAGAATTATCATCAAAAAACCATACATTAAAAACTCATTTAGCTGTATTGGAAATTGAAATAAAAGGTTTAAATGAGAAAAATGAAGAAAATGATTCAAGAATTAAAAAATTAGAAATTCAATTGGCTGAAACTTATGAAAAAATAATTACAGTTGGTAAAAGAACAAAACAAAAATAATACAATGACAATGTTAACAACAGCAACATCAATAATAATAATAATAATATATATAATCAATTAATCACATAATAGTTTATGTCTAATAAGAATAATTATTAAATGAAATGATTTTATCTCAAATGATTTTTTAAATATATTTGTGGAATTTATGGAAGGTGAAGTACATAAAAGACAATGTAAATTAATCAATATATCTATCTTATTTTCAAAATATATACATGAAATATTATAACCTTTTTATTTGATGAGTCTTGTTAAGTTGGTCTATTTGATAAAAAGGGAAATAATAAAAACCATTTTAAAATAATAATAAATTAGATAATATGTAATTTGACAATACCAAATGTGAATAGGCAGGAATTTGTATTGATTAAAATGGTGTAGAATAAATACTTGAGATGCATTAGCTGCTTCTATTCCTGACTTAGGTTCTGTACCCAAGATATTTTCAAATCATGACCTTTATGTTATTATGAGGGATCTTGCTCAACTGAAGCCCTAGTTACACAATTAATAAAGTACATTTTGATCTATTTTCAACTAAAATAATAAGCTAAGCTAAATTAATTATACTTTATGTAACTTCATTCTCTACGCCTGTAATAAATAATGAAGTCTAAAAAAAAAAATTTTAAATTTATATGTTAATCATTACAGTCAACTTCGTTATAACGGATTTTTGTTATACTGAACAAAATCTTATTTTTATTATGTGTTATACCGATTTTTTGAATCGTGTATTCAAGTTTTTTATTTGATCTTTTTGTCTGCAATTGCTCGTTCATCATATTTTATTTTATTGCTTCTGTCCATGATACACTCTAAGGGTTTCAAATTGTAATGATAATTAATAAAAAAAATTATTATTAACGATGGAAACATGGATGTTGCTTTTAACAACAATTTATTAAAATATTTTGCCAATTAAATGAATGCGATTGATTTTTAATAGAGAAGTAGAAAAGGTAAAAAAAATCCAGTGTTTTTTTTTTGAATGGTTAGTTTATTTTAAAAATGTCACTATTTTCATTGATCCTGAAGCTTTGACCTTATAAATAACTATAAATCAGTCCCTTATAATTAAAAGCAAAATTTTCTAACACAACCTTCCAAGTGATTATAAGCGACTTTGTAGGGAACAATTTGGCACAACTATTACTGCTGAATTTGCTTTAGTCCGCATACTAATTGAGCGATAATCTTAAAATAAATGTGAAGAAAAGAAACACTTTTGACCTGGCTTAGAATAACCAATATTTAAGCTAGTCTTTTCTTTTAATTGTTGTTAAAAAGTCTTAGTCTGGCTCTAAAATTATTATTATGGTTGAAAAATCGCTTGCTATATGAAAAACGGAGACTTTTTTTTTGAAGTGGATGACAATAATAATATTGAATAACGCTTGATCTGCAATGTCCCGCGACTATGGCCTGCCTATGAATTTTTTGGGGCCTTGAGTGATACTTGACCCTAAATTTGCGCCCGATATGCTTAACGTAGATCTCATTAATTTTTTTTTGTAATCTTTAACCAGCAAATATGAGCAAGTAAGTGATAATTGTAATTATAAAAAAATTTTTTTGGCAAAATTTTGTGTATAAATAAATGGTTAAAATTTGAGATCAATTATTAAAATAAAGTTATCTAACGTTGCTTTTTTATCATGATCAAATAATTTTTTCTTAATCATCTGTATCTTGTGAAAATAGACAAGAGTATGATGATATTCCTGAGGGTGAGATCGAAGTAAGGGTTTAAAAATTTTTTAAAAAATTTTAATAATTATTTGATTAAATTGATTAAGTTTTTTAATCTAGTCAAATTGGGAAGAAATTGTTGATAATTTTGATAGTATGAATCTTAAACCTGACCTTCTTCGTGGTATTTATGCATATGGGTGGGTAGGCATTTTGATTTTGACTTTTTTATGTAGTTATTATAATATATTTTTATTTATTTTGGTTCCTCTTTAGATTTGAAAAACCCTCAGCAATTCAACAAAGAGCCATCCTCCCTGTTATAAAAGGACATGATGTATTAGCTCAGGCACAATCAGGAACAGGAAAAACAGCGACATTTTCTATTTCAATACTTCAAAAACTTGATGTGGCTATTAGTCATTGTCAAGCACTTATTCTTGCACCAACTCGTGAATTAGCACAACAAATTCAAAAGGTAGTGATCGCGCTTGGAGATTTTATGAATGTCGAATGTAATGCAACAATTGGAGGCACAAATGTCCGTGAAGATATTAAAAAACTTGAAGCAGGTGTTCATGTAGTTGTAGGCACACCAGGCCGTGTATTTGATATGATTAATCGTAAAGCTTTAAAAACTGATCATATAAAAATGTTTGTGCTTGATGAGGCAGATGAGATGTTATCACGTGGCTTTAAAGAACAAATCTATGATGTTTTTCAATTACTTCCACCTAGTACCCAAGTTGTACTTTTATCAGCTACAATGCCATCTGATGTTCTTGAAGTGACCACTAAATTTATGCGTGATCCTGTAAGAATTTTAGTTAAACGTGATGAATTGACATTGGAAGGTATTAAGGTAATAGTATAATTTATACAATTTATATGTTTATTTATATTTAATTCTAATTCTAATAATGAATTCAATTATTGATTGATTGATTGATTGATTGATTGATTGATTGATTGATTAGCAATTTTATATTGCAGTTGAAAAAGAAGAATGGAAACTTGATACTTTATGTGATTTATATGAAACAGTTACAATAACTCAAGCAATCATTTTTTGTAATACCAGAAGAAAGGTTGATTGGTTAACAGATAAATTACATTCCAGAGAATTTACAGTATCAGCCATGCATGGAGATATGGAGCAAGCTCAACGTGATGTTATTATGAAGGAGTTTCGTTCAGGATCTTCCCGTGTACTTATTGCCACTGATATTTTAGCCCGTGGTATTGATGTTCAACAAGTATCATTGGTGAATAAATTTTGATTATTATTATCTCTCCTATTCATTCATCATTTGAAGATTAAACATATGGAATATTTATTATTTATATATTATACATTATAGGTTATCAATTATGACCTCCCTACCAATCGTGAGAACTATATTCATCGTATTGGCAGAGGAGGGCGTTTTGGTAGAAAAGGAGTTGCTATTAATTTTGTTACTAGTGAGGATGTTCGAATGCTTAGAGATATAGGTAATCTATATTATTATTATATTATAATTTAAATGACCTTGGTATTATTATTGACGATCTATATCTTTAATTAGAACAATTTTATAATACACAAATCGACGAAATGCCAATGAATGTGGCAGATTTGATCTAAAAAAAAAGATTCCGAATAAAATTTTTTTTGTGATGATACTAAAAAATTTTTTTGACTAATATTTATTTATTTATTATATTATATCAATTTTTATCATTAAAAAGACATTTTTATTTTGTATATTAAAAATTTAATTTTTATAAAAAAATAAAAATTCAGCCTAAAAATCAATCTTTTGTTTGTTTTATGATGAGAAAATTCTATAATAATATTAATATGTGCATAATGTTTCTTCTTATTTACGTTGATGTCTACCAAAATTGATCAATTTCAAAAAAATCAATCAAGATTTGTTAAAGATAATACATGGTTTAAAATCCTTTTATGGATAATACCTCTGTGTTTTACCTTTTTAGCTTGGGGAAGGGTCAGAAAATACGTGTTTAAAATAAGGGAGGGGTTCTCAAAGTCATGTCACAAGGGGAGCTCTTAATCACATATTTTCTGGTCCTTTGAATAACGTACTCGAAAAATTATTATGATTTTTAGTTAATATGTTACACATAGCTACTCATTATCTAAAGTTTTTTCAATCAATCAATTCAAGTACTGTTTAAAAAAAAGGCAAGCATGGCAGTGTAAATTTTTTTTTAAATTATTAAAGCAAAGAAAATTAAAATCTTCTCGCGTAACATCAATAGATTTACATGTAACGGGAAAATACTTTCGTTTCGCGAAAAATTCGTGTCCTCAGTCAAGTCAGCGCGTTCTTCCCTTTACTGCTTGTGGCGACTGCATTTATTGCATTTTGAAACATTGTTGTTCTTCTTGTTGACAGGTCTGGAGGACTTTCTTCATTGAGATCTGCTTGGCCTACAGGTCTTTTGTTGGGTGATTCGCAGGTCTTTTTTTTATTACTAAAATACTTTTATTCAAAGTCCAGATACTTTGACTTTTGTGCCTTCCAAAAAGAAGGTACACTTTGGTTTTCTTTATTGTTGGCGTTTTCTGAAACGGGGAAAAGCCATTCAATCTCTTTGTCAACGATCTGCACCATTCTTTTACCAACAAAAAGTTCTCCTGCTACAGGGAAAATATCTTTCCCATTAGTGGCAGTTGTGACAGGGCTGTAACGTCCATTTTTTGGGTTATAAAACATGGGGCATCCATTGTTGTGTATGAGTTTGCAAATGGATTGTATATTTTTCGAGACAAAGTGAAAAGGCTTGCACTATCTTGAACTCTAGATGGTGCCGTGCATGGAGTGATTAAGGTGCCAATTAAAGAATTGACGGGTAAACCATAGATGCTAGGATTATCAGCAATCGTTTTTAGATCAGGTAACCTGAATCAAAAACAATACACATTATTATTCATTACTGAATGAACAATCCATTGCATATTAATATAACAAAAACTCACATATAGCTGTGAATCATGAAGCACATATTTTCCAACAAATATCATAAAAGAATTCTTCTGTATATATATCTTAGATCACGATGTCTTCATTGGAATTAAAGGCTCTGAAGGTAAAGTCCAAAAAATATCATTTTCAAGTCTTGAAGTTGCCACATCATTCAAAACGTTAGGTCCGCTCGCAGACTTTACAAATGCGATTGTAGCTAAGATGGAAGACATAATTTTTGATAAGTTTTATTTTTTTTTTTTTAGATGTGATTTAAATTGTTTTGTGCGTGTCAAATATTTTCTTTGCATCTAGTAGCTCATTCATTTAACCTTTTTATACAAAATTTTTTCATCCAAGAACAAACATTGATTTTTCTTCATTAGCCAAATCGTAAAAATCAGTAATTCAATGAATGGCAGCACAAGAAACATATGTTAATGTGGACATGACAATAAACATATCCACGTAGCATAAAAAAAAGAAAGATGTACGATGTAAAAATAAACACGTAGTTGCATAGGTACATGTTCATCAATGATTTCATTGATTGATCAGATAATGGTTCACAGCCATGATCTCATGCACCTGAATCAAGAATCAACAGATAAAATGTAGATCTCAAATTGAGGTGCATTTGTTGGTAAAATTGTTGAACTTTTCATTAAAAACCAA